TCATAGAACCATAGTTGACTTCAGCTTCTTCGTAATCAGCGGTTGGGACATACATTTGGATTACTTGATGTTGGTTTGCCTTGGATTCAAATCAAGATCATTCTGTCATTTTTGAGACTGCTTTTCCCATTGTTCTATTGACTATGAGGGCTACCCCATTTCTTCTAAAGGATTCTTGCCCACAGTAGTAGATATAGTGAAATAGATATAGTCTACTTTTGAAATATCTCTGGGGCTGAATAAATCTATCCCAACTCCAGCCATAAGGGCAGAATTGAGTATATTCAAAGCCATCTAGGAATATTTTGCAGGGAACAAACTTGCATATTAATAGCAAGACTGCACTCTTTCTATCAAAGGCCATTTTGAAGAGAACAAAATGTTTAGATAAAATTGTGGTTAACTGTAGGGGTGATAAATTATTATGAACATGTCCTGTTGTCTTTTTTGTATTTATTTGTATATTTGCATTAGTTTGATCATAGTCAAATAACTACAGTAAATCAGTAAAGATTCTATTCTACTCTATTCTATGAAGAATTTCTTGCGGATGGGTTTCATGCAATAGAAGATAACCTCTTCAATATAATTCAAGAAACAAAGATATGGAAGTAAATTTCAATTCTTTTAATGTAGATACCAATCATATATATGATAAATTATCATCTGAAGTAAAGCAGAATAAAGAAATTAAGAATTACAGATTGGACATTTGGAATTATCCTTAATTCAGATAATCAGAAATATTTCTGCTAATACATCAAGGGAGATACTGCAATGAACTTGAGAAAGAGCACTTGACAAAGAAGAAACTGCAATTCTAAGTGCAGCTATCAGACATTTCCAAAAAGTACAAGGGTGCAATTTGGAAACAAGAGGTGGATAAGAATAATAAAAGAAGCTACCTTGTAATAATAGTAGAAATGGTGGAGAAAAAGCATGAAAGGTCAGTTTCAGGTGAAGATGAATTTTATGGTTTTGAATTGAAACGCCTGATTGATCTACACTCACTCATTGCCAAATAATTATTGAATAGAATAGAATAGAATAGAATAGAATAGAATAGAATTTTTATTGGCCAAGTGTGATTGGACACAAGGAATTTGTCTTTGCTGCATATGCCTTCAATGTACATAAAAGGAAAAAAAGAAAAAAAATACATTCATCAAGAATTATTAAATTAATAATTATTAAATTAAGAGGTGAAATTGAAGATTAGTTAAGATCTGGTAAAACCTACCTGATAATGAAAGATCCAATAAAAGAGATAGCACTAGGCAACTACAGGCCAATTACCAGCTTACCTACAACTTTCAGACTGCTAACTGATGTGGGAGCTGATGCAGTCCAACAGCATCTAGCTACCCAAGCAGAAAGGACACCACACAAACAGCAGAGGAGCAAAAGTTCAGCTCCTAATTCCCAAAATGATTTTGGGAAACTGCAAGAAAGGGAAGATCAACTTGAATGTAGCATGGATTGATTATGTGAAGGTATTTGATTCCCTTTCATGTGATTGGATAATCAAGTGCCTAGTCAATACAGACATCAGAAGCTTTGTGCAAAGATCAATGGCAGAATGAAAGACAAAACTGTCTTTCATGGAAATGGTAATAGACTAGGAAAGGTTAATATTAAGGAGGACATCTTTCATGGAAATTCACTATCACCATTACTATTTATTATTGCATTGATTCCTCTTGTCAACAGTACTGAATAAGTCTGGCAAATATGAAAAACATTTGCTCTCTCTTTTACATAGACGATCTAGAAAAATAATGTCTGAAATAGAATCGCTGCTCAACATTGTCCACATACACAGCTTATCATGGTGGACTCTTTGGAGGACCCCAATGATAAGCAGCCACAGCCAATTCTAGAAGTGCCCACAGACAAAAGCAGCCAGCCTCAGTACAACCAGATGGACTGCCATCTGTGCAGGCAGAGAGATTGGATAGGCCAGTAATTAGCAAACAGTTGCCATCGCTCTGAAGATGAAGCCATAGAATTACCTAATGCAAGAGTTCAGCCAGCTGCAAAGTGCATACAGCATAATAGAATAACAGAGCTGGACGGGACCTTGGAGGTCTTCTAGTCCAATCCCCTGATCAGGCAGGAAGCCCTATACCACTTCAGATGAAAGGACCTTGCAATACTGCTTGTACAGAATGAGTCCTGTCCCACTGAATGTGCCACACTTGGGGCTGTTTTTACTAAAATGGAGTAGCAAGCACAAGCTGAAGAAACAATGCATCAACTAGTTAGCTGCTGCAAGAAGATTTTACAGACAGACTAAAAATAATAGTAAAGTAAAAACAAAGTAGCAACAATGGTGCATTGTAATATCTGCAACAAATATAACTTGCCTGTGAACACTGGTGGGACCATAATAGATAAAGTAATAGAAAACAAAGAAGCTACAGTGCTCTGGATTTTTAGCATTAAAATAGACAACATTAAAAACTGTGGATTAAAAAAAAAAGGCTGCTGCAGTACCTGGAGACAGAAGAATAAAAGAAAAATACAAAGATCTGTAAACAGAAGTAGAACAACTGTGCCAAAAGAAAGCAAAGATAGTATCAAATAGGCCACCTGGGCGCAATCTCAAAACATCTGTAACACCACTTGAACCCCACTGGCACTGAAAAAAATCACCATCAGTTCACTGAAGAAGGCAACTTTAGTTGGAACAGTTTACCTTCTGTGATAAAACCTTTAACGCTATCAGTTATACACAAATAAAAATTTACCATAGATGCTAGAAAAACATCCAAGATGAATAAGAAAAATGTATTATAAGACATTTTCAGACTGAATCTGGAAAAGTTGCCTCAAGTTATATTCTAAATAATATATAGATCAAAATCCAATAATTGTAAGACTAACTCAAGGAACTTCCAGATCAAAGAGATAGAGATTTCATGAACTACTATAATTACATAAGGATATTAAAATGTTATCACTAAATAACTTCTTTCAAATCAATTAAGTTCTGATGATTCATTATGATATGGGGTACTAGTCAGGTATTTTTGATAGATTTGTTTATCTCCTTGGCATCAGAAAGAAAAAGCCACAGAAAAACAGGAATATATATTACTGGATGATTTGAAGCAATTAGAGTGAACATATAACCCAATGCCTTTCCACATTTTGGTCATGTAGGGTCCTCTCTTAATGTGTGCAGTCCTGAGTTATGATAGCAACTGCGACTGCCAGGATTGCTTGAGGACTACCTATAATGATCCAATAATAGACCAAGGATTATATTTTGAATTTACAAGATTTAAGTGAGGTGGATTAGCACATTTGAAATCCAAACATGCTAGTTGCTTAACATGTGTTTCATAACTGATTGTATAGAAGTTGGCTGCTTCTACAGAAGGGTCAAGGCTTCCATGTGGTCTGAATCAACTGAAAGCTATTTGTGTAAACAGAAATAAACAATATGTAGAAGATCATGAATGTCAATGAAAAATAAAGGAAAAGAGTGTCCAGATTTTCTCATACCTCCCAAGTTGTTCTAAAATGTCTACTTCAATGAAGAGGCAAATACTAAAAAAAATTCTTCAATGGTAAATTAATAATTCAGTAGATTGTAAACTTGGATTATTAATAAGAGAATGATGAAATCTTTTGAAAGTTTTGTCTTAGAATAATCTAGTTTACCTGGTTGATTTCATTATCTTCAAATAAGTAGAATAGCACTAAAACAATTATAGAAACAAGAGTGAATATTGAGAGACTTGACTTATTTCAAAAACCTCATAATATATAATTCTGAACCTGAGTCAGGCTTGATTCATAAATTATTGGTGGTAAAACTCATAATCCAAACAAATAACAGATTGCATGATTAAATGGATGGAGAATTTGAATGTAGTAATAGAGATGCAATAATGGGAATTTTAATATAAGAAAATTAAATTTATTATGAATAAAGAAAAATGGGTTGTTTTACCATTGAAACGTCACTTCAGTTTTATTCCCTCAATATATACAGAATTAGCTCTGTATAAATTAACTGTTTCATAGGTATTACATGTTTCTTATTGGAAAATTCTTTCTTCCAACGAATAGTTTACTAAGTTGCAGGACTATGTTTTTACCTCCAAAATAACTTTGTACCTTAAAAGTAAATCGGTTAGGGAATTTAATACAAAGTGGAAACTATTCCAGGACTACAGTTCAATATGTGGATTTTTATCATACCTAAATTTTTTCAATGTAGAGTCTATATTTCAATTTAATGGGATATTTAGATCAGAACAGATTTTCAGTCTCAGGCTATTCTAGCTTACCCGTTTACTGGGGATTCATCTATGCTTAAAGCCTTAGTTTCTTAAAGTATTATAATATATTCAAATATTCATGATTAATGATATATTAGAGGTATATAATACTAAGATATTTTATTTTTGTTTACTTACTTTTGCTTTTTAACTCACTTTATTTGAAGTTTGGTTTTTGGGTTTTTTTTTTTTTTGCTCTTTCGCTTATCTCTCTAAAATGTTTCTCACTAAAATGTTTAATAGCCTTTTTTTTAAAAAAGGAAGAGAAATATCCTTTTTTAAATAAAGATGGAAATGTGGTAAACAAATAATAAATAAGAAGACAGAGCCCATTACCTTCAAATGAATGAATGAATGAATAAATGAAATAATTTACCTATGCCCTTTAAAAAATCCTATAGCAATGAATGCCAATTTATCAAAAATGACCTCAAGGTCTCCAGGATATTCCAACATGCCTAAAACTTCCTTATTTTTTTCCCCCTTCCTTTTAACCATATATAATTCTTGGAGACTAACTGGACAAGTCCCTGCAGTTTTCTCATGTTACTCTTACTTTACTCTTACTAACAAGAGGCTCACATATTCTGGCTGATGAAAATAACAAATGTGGTCCCCAAAATATACAGAGTATACATGTTATTACAGCAGTACAGCTGTATTACAATACAGTAGGGAACAGCTTTTCCTTCACTCTTATTCTGTTACCTGCCAATGGCCTTGCCTAACGGCACTGAATAAAGGAACAATCCCTCGTCGGTTGGGCTGGGCTACAGCTGCTCCTTGCTCTAGAAGCAGACGGCAAACATCCAACTTGCCTCTTCCTGCTGCAGCAGTTAGAGCTGAAGAGATAAAAGACTGATTAGAAAAAAATGATTACAGACTCTCAATCTACTTTAAGAAGAACAGAAATTGAAAAAAAGAAGGAAAGAAAGGAAAATGGAATGGCTTCTGGCTATAGTTTCCAAAATTTTTCGAAGACTAACTTGTTAGAAGCAACTTCTGGAGAATGAGTAATACTTCTTACTTTAATAAATGTACTTAGTTTTGTCCCTTTGCAAGAATTTCCATTCCTTGGCACTGCTGATAATTAGAGTTGTTCTTCAATTCTGCTACATGTAGAACTCTACGTAATTTGATAGTTTGTATATGTACATAAAAATACTTCTAGACTGGAATTAGAGCTCATTTGTTGGAGGAAACAGAAACAGTTATTTTTCTACAACCTTAAAAGCTAATAAGGATATGTTAATTTATCCATAAAAATAAGTTTTAAAACTAAGATAATTCTTTGTTTATAAACATTCCCAAAACTTTTTTCATATATATATTAGAATACAACGTAGTTTCTACGATATAAAATTATGAGACATAAAGGAACACTGCATGATAATTTCATCATCCCCTCAAAAATGGATCTATTTCTCATAGTATTGGCAATTCAATGCAGTATTATCGATGAACAATTTCAATAAAGCGAGACCTATTGCAGTAAACAATTGATATGTACTCAATTTCTTGTCTCAAAAAGGGGTATTTATTTACTTATGGTGATTTTATGTCACATGGGAGCTTAAAATGTTTTTTAAAAGGAGGACAAATTCAACTGATGGTGCTGAGGAGCTATTACAATTCCTTTCTTTCAAACGTAACTGCATGACAAGCTACACTTGATAATTAAAATGTATTTTATTTTTAAATCTGAATCAAAATTCAAATAATGATTTACTTAAATATATATATCATTATATGACACAAAACGTGTCAGGATTGAAATATGCTGATCACAAAACGTCGCAGTTCTGGCATGTTTTAACATCAGTATAGTCTGTTCCTTTCTAATACAAAATATTTTGACTTCAGAGCAATCTTCTATGACCTTGGAAAATTTTGTACATCTCTTTTCTATTGCACACAAACTGGGATCAAACCAAAGAATGTATCTAGACCTAAATCTAAATTCATAGAGCTGCAGAAAAAGTATAAAACATGGAAGAATGCCATCCTTTTGTTCTCTTCAAAGTCAAGAGTACCACTGCTTTAAAGAACCAGAGTTTTGTATGTTTAATTTAGAAACTGTTTTTGATACCTTGTATTTCTGAAACTTGAAGAAATACACATATACTATATATGTTCAGTGGTTATATATGCAGGATCTTAAACAACGCAAAATAAGACAATTTTCTTTATTTACAGGTAGTTCTAAGAAGGTACAATAGGACATGTAATAGTTCTACTATTAGGTGTCATCTCACCTAATAATTTACTGACTGCTTCACACAATCAAGATTCCAATCCCAATTGTGGTTGTAAGTCAAGGACTACGTGTAAGCCTCCCTTGTTTTGGAGCATCAAGTAGGCAGTGTAAAGAAAATCTTGGAACCTAAGCTGAAGAGTCTCAAGAAACATTTGGAAAATTTAGCTGTTGGTAGTGCAACCAGAGCTAGCAAGAGTTTATAGCTAGTCATACAATCAACTAACCCAGCTAAAGAGAGAAAGAAGGAATGAACTCAATAGTGGAGGGGAAAAATAAAGAAAGCTGGAAGACAGAAGAGAGCCAAGAAAAGATGATGAAAGAAACCTTGTTGACAATGAAAACAAAATTTCAATGTTTCTCTCCCTGGAATAGCTAAGCCTCCCCTCACCATAAGTTCCCCTGTCCATAGTATCATTACCCTTTCTTCCATCTCTAACACCCTCAGCTACCTAGACACCCCACACTCTCCTGATTATCCAATACTAGACACAACACCCACCTCACAGTCAGATGGTTGTAATAAATCTTGCCAATCCTCATTTAATTTCCCCACTTCTGAGCAGTAGAACAACTACTCTGATATGTGGGGATTCTCAGTTTATGTGAAACTGATGGGCAGATTTTTACCTGGAATAGGTGATCTTGAACATTCCACAAGTTCAGAGTCATTTAGACTTTTTGATGGTGACCAGAACTTTAAATTATATTTGGAAACAGATTGGCAACCACTGCAATTCATAAAGAAGTGGTGCTATATGTTCAATAAAGTCTCTGACTTATAAGCTACATACTCCCACAATTTGTACTAGTTGAAATTTCTGGATAGACTCACATGCAACAAATTTCAATAATCCAATTGAACCCAACAAAAGTGTGAATGATTGTCCTCAGTGCTCCCCATTCCAGGAAAGGCAGCAACTGACTCATCAGGTGAAAGCTGTAGACATGCCTTCCTCATCACAGTTTTCAGTTGTTCTTCAAGCAACAAATAGTCTTAGAGGATCTCAAACCAGTGGTGAAATCCAATTTTTTTTACTACCGGTTCTGTGGGCGTGGCTTGGTGGGCATGATGTAGCTTGGTGGGCGTGGTAGGGGAAGGATACTGCAAAATCTCCATTCCCACTCCACTCCTGGTGAAAGGATATTGCAAAATCTCCATTCCCACCGCACTCTGGGGCCAGCCAGAGGTGATATTTGATGGTTCTCCGAACTGCTCAAAATTTCCACTACCGATTCTCCAGAACCTGTCAGAATCTGCTGGATTTCACCCCTGCCTCAAACTGAGGATCTGTTTGTTCTGGAGAAGTGTAACATAGTCAAAAATTATAGTTGGTATGAGCCTGAAATCAGAGGATCTTGATGGAGATGTATAGGAACTATTAGCTAAGCAAAAAGGCTGTAGCATTTTTAAAGTGCTGAATAAAGAAGTAACATTAGGAAGTGCAGCACACTCCCTGAGAGTTAACATCAATTTTGCAAGTCTATTTGTATTAAATAGGGGCAATTCCTTTTTTTAGTAATAAGACTAATACTTTTACAGCATTAAAGGCTGCAGTGCTAAAATGGTAATAAAATTTTTATGTCTGTTGATATGATAAACTTATTCTTTGGAATAATTCTGGTTTAAAAACAGGAGGTAAAACTTTTTAAAATTCATAATCCAACAGAGGTATAATATTTTCAATCAGCTTATAACAAATTTTTAGGTTATTGTAAGAGAAATTTGGACTAATAAAAATAAAATATCAGCATATCCAATTAAAACATCTTTTGATTTCATTATTAGCAAGCACTCTGAATCACTATCAGTATTAAAATACATTTGGATAATTCCAAATCTACAACGTGTGTATAGAATTCAAAGGAATATTATTGTCTATGACAAGTTGAAATGAAGAGACACGTAGCTGCCTATGTTGACAGTCCATCTTTCAAGGTAAGCAAGTTCATGGCAAGGATTCCAGGAATGCTACTTTATTATAGCATTATAATAAAGTAGCATTAGAGTACATGCGAGGGTCTTAAAGCCTGCCCAAAATATTCACTGCTCTTTAAGGACGTTATAGTCAAGGTTGAGCTATTCTGAGCCTCTTCTTTCTCATATTTTTCTCCAGAATTCAGCAGCCATTTTATTATTTATTTGTTTTATTTATATCCTGATTTTATTGTTTTTACAAATAATCCAACACGGCAAATTTAGCCAATATACTTTTCTCCTCTTATCTTCCCTTTTCATCCAAAGGAAGAGCTAAATCCTTTTTATTTAATTATTTAAAATATTTGGAAACAAAAAGATTATTATACTTATTTTAACAAACCTATTGTTAGGAGTATTAAAGTATCTTAGATGTGGCTTTAAGGTGAAATTGATTAAATAAAAAACTTTTTTTTATCTATATAGAATGTTGAAAATGGATCAGCTCTCAAGAGCATTATTCTGGAAGTATGAAATAAGAAACATATAATGTGGGTTTCTTCCATAATAATTTAATTTAATTTCCAGGTTTTTCTTAATATGGTTTTGCATATAGAATAAAGGTGTAAATGTGATTTTGAATTATATGCTAACATTTTGGAATGTATTAATATGAAAAATTATAGATTTAATTAGCATGGAGTGAAATAATACATAAATTATTGGGCATTTTAATGCTGTATTTTAAAAGTGAGAGTTTTTTACATTATCAGTGTATCTGTAGGATTGAAGGCTTTTAATCAAAATGACAAAAACAGTGCTGCACTGTCATGATGCAAGCCACCCCTTTTATACATATATGCAATGAATAGTGTTTTCATAATTTGCTTCTTTAGTGTACACTGAATTATATAATGTATTATGTTTTCTGCCCTTTTTCTCCGGTTTTCTTCTTTGGATTGTTTCCTCTTTCTTTTTATATACTAACGCAAAAGAAAAAGAAAAAAGAAAAAATGAAATTGTGTTTAAGCCACATATATGTTTATACTAGATGCACATACCTACAATTATGGAAGAAATCCAGGATTGGATTATTTCATGTTTTTACAAATTTTTAAAAACATTTTACAAACCTATGTACATTTGTGCATGAATATAGCATTAAAACAAACACACACACATACAAACACACTCTGTTATTCATAGATTACAATCATGTAGGTATAAACTACAAACTAGGCTTAAAGTGGTTGATCAACTATCCCTACTTTCAATAGAAAAGGTGAAGAAACTAGAAATATCCTGCCTGCAAATCCCTAACCTCATTTTAAGTTAATGGTAAAATGAGGGCTCTATCATTTAAAAGCGCTCCCATTAATAATGCCAGATAGGAATGCAAATGAATCTATAATAACTGGAAAATACAATCAACCAATAAATCATTTAAGTGAAATGGGTAGTATAGAAATGTGACAAATGAATAAATAAATAAAATAATACATCCACAAAAGAGGTCTGGGGAAATATAATTAATTGAGGTAGAAACAATGAAAGAATGATTGATTGAAGAATGTATCAGATGTAATATGAATAAATTTCAAGTTGATGTATGTATTTTTCTAATTTGTGCTGAGATCAGGTCAGTACATTTGAGTTTAGTCCATTTCATTCTTGTAGTACAGGTAAACCGTGATATATCACTGGTCACTTAACAGCAATATGGCCCTGTTTCAAGTTTATGGTGGCTGCAGTACACCTACTGTCCTTTGCCCTTACAACTGACCTCAGGGACCCTGCCTCTCTGCCCCCATTCAGCTCCAGTAAGACCCCCTGCAGCACTTGGAAGCAGCTGCCATTTTCAGTGTTCTGACTATTCCTTGTGGAAAGCTTTTTGCTGCCTGTCTGACTCCCTTTAGAATACAGCATCTGCTGTGGATTGATGCTTGTTTGTACTGTCGCTTTTTCTTTTGAGCTGAACTTTTTCTTCAGTCCTTAAGACAAACAAGCTGCAGAAAGCTTATCTTTGTTTGTTTCCTTCCTTTCCTACAGTATTCTTCAGCCTGGCAGTTACTCAAGGTAAGTAACATACAAATTTTTCACCCTCTTTTCAGGCATGCAGTAAATTTAGCAAACTAAATTGTTAAAAGGGATTGTGATTGAACAGCAGAGGCAGAGTGCTTAGTTTCAGTACCTAAAAGGAGGGTTTGTGCCTCCCAGATTTTTGTTTATTAAAGAAATGTGGCTTTCTGGGGCAGGATGGGGTTAAGCAAGGGGAAGCTCATCCTGAAGCTGCCACATTTGAATCCAGGTGGCTGACTTCTCCAAAGCTTAAGAAGAGCCAGGAGAAGTTTGCGGTTTCCTAAGAGCAACCTCCAGTATGATTTCATTGGATGAGCATAGAGGCTTGTTTGGAAGCCTTTCTGGTATTGGAATGCAAATCTGGGGCCTAATCTAGCTGTGTTCTCCCCCCCCCCCCCCGGCTATTTTTGGCTTTGCAAAACTTTTTGCTGCTTGTTTGCCTCTTTTATGGACCCTCCCAGGGTCTCCCCATCCATGAAATATCCCATGCTCACTAAACAAGCCTTGCAATAGTTTAATGGTGGAACTAGATAGAGAGAGCAAGTGGTAGAGGTCATTAAGCAAGGGGTCACTTAATTGTTGCCACCATTTGTAACTATAATGGGCAGGCTCCCTTACATTTGTAGGTTGAGGATTATTTATTTGCCTATGTGACTAGCATTACACACTATGAGTTAGAATATTACACTAGAATAAAATTCATTTTTTTTATACAACTGAATGATTACAGAAAAAAGACATCTTTTTGCATCAAAATCTTTAAAAAATTTGAGAAATATTACTGATTAGAAAATCAATCTAACAGAAAAGTTACTATTTATTATTTAATAGGTCTATCTATATCTGTATGAATCCTAAGGGTACTAATTTTCTAATGTATTGAATAATGTTTATGAATCTTGAACAAATGCTATTTAATTAATATCCTAGCTATCTAATTAACTGGCAAAAAAATGAAAACCTGTATTTCATGTGGCACTCCCAAAATTTAGAAAATTAGAGAGGTAATTTTGGCACTGCAAAGAATTCCCACAGAGCAAATCTCTTTGAATAAATCCACTATGTACCCAAGAGATACCAACGTTCTAGCTAAAAAAGTTACCTGTCTCTCCCCAAAGGCTGTCAAAACTGTTGATTTGTGCTCGCTCCACCTCCTCTTCATCTTTTTCTGGGAGATCAAGCAGGTAGGACACAATCTAAAAACCAAGAATCTTGTCAGTTCATGAAATACGTGGGCAGCCCCCCCCCCAAAACAACACACAAATCAAATTACTTGGCACCATTAAAATAATTGTCTTTATGAGATAAATGCACTTTCTACACTCAGTGGAACAATGTAAAAACTAAAAGGTTAGCATAATACTTTCTTGATCTACTTTCTTAATCTACTGAAATGAAGTATGATATGTTTAATATTCTGGCTAGCATTATGTTCAGTTTGGTTAATATTCTAACATTCTTTTTTCTGGGAAGATAGGTTATTGGTACAATTATCTATGTTTTAGTTAACAATGGAAGAACCTAACTCGAGTGTGAGTGGGTGTCCCAAAGCTATCTCTTGAGAGGCATACTGGATTGGACTCCAAAAAGGAAAATGGGGCCAAGACAAAGAAGTGGATGGGCACCAAGTTACAAATTAATGTAATATTAAATTAAATTTTAAATCAGAAGTTCTAATTAGCAAATTAATCACTTATACCTTAATCATGAATGATCAATTCAAACTTCTGGTTAAAGACATGCAACTAGGATTTTTCCATCCACTGCAAAGATACAGAAGCAAAGACTGACAGCCAGACAGTGAGCCTGAGAAAATGAAGTTTCTCTGGACAAGGAGAAAGATGTGAAATTGCTCACTTGAGATCTTTGTGAGGAAAGGAGTATCCAGAGGGTTCTTATAGCAGGAAAGAGTGCCAGAAGTCCAAAGAGAAAACAGCTTGCTCGTAGCCCCAAGCAAAGCTTGTTTAAAAGACAGGAGTTGTCTAATCCATTTTCTAAAACACTTTTGGATGGAGAAAATTTAAAGTGTAAAGAGACTGAGTGCCCAAACCCATCTGGGTGAATGTGCCTTTCATCCTTGGGAAAAATTAAGGAAAACTAAGGATATAAAGATAATTAAAAGCAAAAAGCTTGCTGGAAGTTTGGAATGCAAAAGTTAAAAATGGACTAAAGGGAGAGTTAAATTTGGAGTATTGCCTTATTTAAAGTATTTTAAATTAAATAAATAATACACAAATCCATGGAAAAGGGAAATATTTAATGTTTCTAAGAAGGATGATTGGCTAATTTTGCTAAATAAAGACATAAGTGGAAAAGAGGAACAGAAAGCTCATGTGATTATAGTAGTATGGTATGCCAAAAGGGATTAAAGAGTGAAAGACAGAAAAGGTTCTTTTTTATTTTTAGTTCTCTTTTCTGGATTACAAATTAGAAAAAAATGCCTACTATTAGATAAGCAGCAAAAGTTGAAGAAGGCATTAAAGGATCAGAAACTCAACAAACAGAAATAAGGGATTATGCCAGTCTTTACAAAGGAAGTTTGAAGAATTAGGAGGAAATGTACAGCATCAGTATTGTATCTTGTCTGCATTAATTAAAAGAGATCTGGCTACTATCAGAGAACGGAGGAAAATGTACAAATATGCAAGAAAACATGAATAAAAAACTTGAAGAATTTATAGTATAGATGAACTATGAGGTAAGTAAATTATATATATATATATATATATTGAAGTGGTCAAAATGGTGATTCTGAAGAATATAATATTTTTTTGAAAGGCACAGATCTTTCTCAAAAATAGATACATTCTGGATTTCTAATAAATGTGCTATCTACTAATATATATAGTAAAAGCAGAATTTGCAGATAGGGGCTAAATGAAACTTTGCTACAAAAAGAATCAATAATTGAGGTACTGTAGAGAACTTGAAATGCTTTGAGATTAAATAAAGGCATGGACATAAACATAGTTTGGATTGCAATTAAAGCATTTATGAAAGGACAATTTATACAGGTTGTGATTATGGGGGCACCCACGTGATACCTCTCCTGTGAGAGCTGCACTGGCTCCCAGTGGTCTTCCGGATGTGATTCAAGGTGTTGGTCACCACCTTTAAAGCGCTCCATGGCTTAGGACCGGGGTATATACGAGACCACCTTCTGCCATTGACAGCCTCCCACCGGCCAATATGCTCCCACAGAGAGGGGCTCCTCAGGGTGCCGTCGGCCAAACAATGTTGACTGGCGATGCCCAGGGGGAGAGCCTTCTCTGTGGGGGCACCAGCCCTCTGGAATGAGCTGCCCCTAGATGTGCGTAAGATCCCCCACCTGCGCACCTTTCACCGTGCCCTGAAGGCCCTCTTGTTTCAACAAGCCGGGATGAATATGAATTTTAATGGGTGTATGTCAGTTTTTAATTTGTGGACCAAATTTTTGTATATTTGATTTTAATGGTTTTTAAATTTTGTAAATTTTATGTGTTTTAATACGGCTTACACCGCCCTGAGTCCTTCGGGAGAAGGGCGGCATAGAAGTCTAATAAAAGTAAAGTAAAGTACAGCAAAATGGTAAAATGATGGAGATAAAAATGAAAATGGAAGCATTTTCAAGTGATCTCCAAAAAGGAAAAATGTCTCATAGCAAATTAAAGTTTTACAATGCCAGCTTTGCATTGCATGGGTTTTTATGGTACAATAAAGTTAATGTAGATTTCACAAATAATTATGTAAGAAATACCACATTAAGATTATGGAATAAATATAAACCTAGGTTGCATCCACAGATACCTTTATGTTCTCAGCACTGAAAGCATTTTATAATAAACAGCAGGCAAAGAAAAATGGTCAACATATCACAATTTATTAATAAAGTTCAAGTTGAAATCAAGAGAACAATTGCAGAGGGATTTAGTTTTCCATAGTTTTCGTATGCATAATTAGGATAAATATTTAATGCAAGTAAATAGTTGTAGGGATTGAACAATACAAGATGGAGCTTAAAAATTGACCTGTGTACAAATAATGAACATCTGACTGCAAAAATGTATACATTTTTGTTGAAATTTGAAATTGAAGAGGAACAAGTCAAAGACTACATAATAAAATAGGCAAGAATTTTAGCTACAACATACAAATAGATTAATGGGAAAGCATGTGCCTAAAGGAACTGAAATTAATGTTGTGTTAAAAGAGAACTTTTACAAAATGATATATTGCTGATATGACACTAGAGAAATTATCTAATATGCATAAAAGTACTTCCAATCAATGTTGAAATTGTAATAAACATGAACATTTTACCACACATGTGAAAAGCAAAAAAAAAAGAAGGAACATCTTACCACACATGGTGGATTTGTGAGAAGCAAAAAAAAAAAAAGACAAAAAGAATTTTGAAGGTTAATATTGAATTGAAACTAGACTACAGCCTTTTATAGACTTTTTATTGAAAATGGAAGAAAGTGAAATTGTGATATCTAGATTTAATGACTGAAAAAAGAGACTGAATAAGGGTCTGAAGGAATTATTGTAATATTAAGAAAGAAAGTGGAATAATGAATTAATCTGTAACTTTTGTAAAGAGGAGGAAATCATTTCTATTTTTTCTTCCTTTCTTTAACTTTATTCTGCAATTTTCTCATCTCCTTTTCTTTCTTTTCTTTGTATATTTTTGTATTAATCTTTTATTTATGTAAAATATTTATTAAAAATTAATTTTCAAAGAGAGAATGTGTGTGTGTGTGTGTATGGATATATTTAAAATATTGATTTTTAAAGCTCTATATATCATGGTTGCTCAACCTTTTGGCTTACCTATGCTGTACTGAGTGAAGATGAATTGACTTGGGCCACATATAAAATATATAATACAGTTACTGTATATAAATAACAAGTGTCTTATTTTTTATATTTTTTTTGTTATTTTGTGGGGCCACATGTGGCCCATGCACTGTGCATTGGACATACATGCCTTATCTAGTCCAGTACCAGGATCTTAAGATTTGATCATTTTGACCACAGCACTTTTTCTTAATATCTCCTCTAGCAGAGTGGTCATTATCTGATTGCTAAACTTAAAGTTGATGTTAATTCTTAGCATAAATAGACTTCCAGGATGATCTATCCCCAGTCTGGTTCTTCAGATCTTCAAATGTTGCATCCACTGCCACTGTAACTGATTTTACCAATTTTGCTACTGGTCAGTCGTCACTCTCTTCTCTTTTCTTCCAAATGAACCTAGTCATTTGTGCCTTAAGTGAAAACTGGATTGATTTGTTATATGGTCAATTTGGGTTTTTTCCCCCCTTGGCTATTCATCGTATTCTCAGAAGTCTTCTCTAACACCAAAATGCAAAACAACACTATTCTATCTTATCTTGCTTTTTCAAAATCCAATCTTTGCTTCCATAGAGTGTCACTGTGAAGTTTCCGAAAGTTTCCCTCCTGCTCATGGCAACTTGAAAGCTTTGCAAGTTGACAGTCACAACAAAATCCATTGCTTGCATAATTCTGGTGTTTGTTAAGTATAGACACAATATTGTATCTGAATATCGTTTCAAGACCCTAACTGCTACTCTATTAAGTTCTGGTCTTTAGTGTACTTCTTGTCTGCTGTTTCTTTTACAGTTGATAGACAATCCTAAAGATAGGAACGTCCACCACTTCAATTATCTTCATTGTCAGTTTTAAAGCTGGTTGTGGGATCTGTTGTCATTAGTTTGTTCTTCTTTATATTTAATCTTATTTTTTCCTTTTCTTGACTTTCATTACTAGAACTTTTTAACTAATTAATCAATCAATAATATTCAGAAAATGCCAATCTTCCTCTGGGCAGTTACAAACAAAATGTTGAAAACATAAAAGCTGAATATAAAATTTAAAACAGAGGAAGATCAATTGCATGTTTAGCATTTTTAAAGTAGTTTAATATCAGCCTAGTTTAAATTATCAATGTTTCTTCACCCAGTTTTAAAACTATGCTCATCATATTTCGGTCTCCCTGAATAGTGGCAATTCTTTTTTTTTTTTAATTTGATTTATATGCTGCCCTTCTCAGGAGACTCACTTCTTTCAAACTTCAATGAAGAGTTATTGACCAGGATCTTGAATAAATATATCTAATTTGAAGGCTACGTAGCCATTCAGCAAGACTACATAACAGTTTACCTCAGTATATCCCATGCTAGCAGCAGCAATGAGTGCTTGTTGAATGGCCTGGCTTTTTTTGAACACTCCTTGTAGCTGTCCAGCCATTGTCCAGTCACACTGAATCAAAAATTTGACAACCTCCAGGTGGCCTCTAAGAGCTGCATGTACCAATGCACACTGACCATTCTTGTCCAAGTGATCCACCTTAGCAACAAAAGAAAAACCACAATTAAAATTAAACTGTTTCAGTAACTATCATTACTTAATGCAATATTCATATAGAAATATTTCTACTATGTTTCTCTGTCCAAATATATGCAGAATTAGCCAGAATAAATTCCTAAAATTGGGTGCCCTCTATAATATAAGTAGTCCTTGACCTACAGTCATTCATTTAGCAAATGTTCAAAGTTACAACGGCAAATGGTGGCTATGCTCTGTTGTTGGAATTTTGAACCAACATGACTATGGTCATGTGATTGTGATCTGTGTGTTCAGCAACAGGTTCGTACTTATATCTGCACCTCACCCTCACTCCCATCCTGTCCCCAGCTTGCGCTTAACTCTTGCACCCTCGATTCACCATTCACCCTCACACACCTTTGTACACTCTTCTTGATTCACACCTCTTATGCATCTCCTTGTGCATCCTCCCCTTCCCTCTTCCTCTCCCCATCCATCCCCCCCCCCCATCACCACCAGCAGCTACTTATCTACTTCACAGTGTGGGACTTACAGCTTGTTGTTGGTTTCCCCATGAACTTTGGTTGTTGGAAACTGGCAGAAAGTTGCCTTGTCAAACAACTATGGGATTTGATTAATGATAACAATTGCAACTGCAGAGATTTTCATCACTAAGTAGGTGGTGATGTTTTACAGCTGCATCATTTATCGATGGGAATCCCAGTCCCAATTGATATTGTAAGTCAAGGACTGACAGTAAAATTATTTACAAGCCACACAAATCATTCTATGGATTTTATCTTTAGATAGTGATGAAAATGAAATCCCAACTCTAACATTTTTCCTTTTGTTTCTTATGCTTAGTGTTAGGTAGTGGTTGCCTTCTGAAATATTGACAATTCTAACTCCCAATGCATCCACTTCACCATCTTCTTCTTCACATTCTCCATTCCCATCCACTCTGTTTGATTGGAAGGATCAGAAAACACCCCTTAAATGGGTGGCATTTCCCCTCTCATTCTCTGTCTCCCATCACAGAAAGTTCTTTTTACAGACCAAGTTGCAAAAATGGATAGTGTTTTTCCTCCCACTACTTCATATTCATCACTGTTTAGACCCTGCTTCAACCACAGCCAGTTGATACCCATTATCTAAAATCTTCCCTTCCAGCAATAAAGTCTTCTCTAGTCTGCAAATCTGAAAAGTAATTGGAGAGTCACTATGCTATTCTCTTCTGCTCACCTATGTCCAGCTTCCTCAAAGTCCCCTCCTTCAGTAATAGCTGGAGATACCTACAGCTTCTGTGTAGGCATAGGGAGCAAGGTGTATGCATAGCAATCATGGCCTCCCAAGTATACATAGACTGTCCTTTCCAATAAATCAATGTTCAAATTGCCTCTCCTGAATCAAGACTCTAAAATACACTCCTCCCCATTTATTAAGATTGGAAGAGGCAGTAGAGCTGATGTGTGCATGATAATGGGTATATCTGAATCATTATCGAACAATGACAAATTGAGTATCTTTAGTGTGCAAGAAAGCTGCATGTAAAGGTCATTTCACTGTGTCACTATGAAGAATTAACCAATAAGCATAGCCCCAACTTCTTTGATAATTCTTAGAGGAAGATGGTCAAAAGAAAACCCCAATCCATTACTTAATTACTGTACATTGGTGGAGGGAGCCCATCCTGATATTGACAGTTAGGAAAGTACTGATAGGAATATTTAGTGCAGTATATTGTAGTTTTTGAAGGAGTAACCTGCCTAAAACTCCTGAAGGAAGAAGGAAGCTTCTGGTTTTCAAAGGCAGAAAAAAAAATCCCCAACAATGGCTCCATAGCATCTTTTCAGATCCAAATATGAAATGCACATCCCTATTCTATTTTATATAGAATATTTTATTCTTCCACTAGATGTTTAATCAGAAAAATATAGTCACTTATCTGATTCAAATAAATTAAAGAGCAATTCCACCGTATTGCATCCCAATCCCACTTTAGTGTTCTACATCAGGGGTCACCAACCTTTCGGACCTCAGGGACCACTTAATTCATAATTTTAAATTCCGCAGACCACTAATATGATCTGCCTAATGACTGGCTGGGTGGGCGTGGCTAAGTGGTCATGTGACTGGGTGGGCGTGGCCAATTTAATGACACATCAAGGGGCACCTCGTCAGCCTCTACTCGCTCCTCCCACCCACTCCTTTCCTGCCTGCCTGGGCTCCTTAGGGCCCCAACAGGAAGTGGTTGTTGTAGCTAAGCAGCCACCAGGAGAAAGAGTTGGCAAAACAGCTGGTTCAGTTCAAATTGGATCTGACCGAGGAGGCTCAGCAGAAGCACCTCACTGAGGACTAGGAACATAGGCTTTCCAAGCAGAAGGAAGATCTGCGGGAGTGCAAGGCCATGTACCGGCGCCTGGAGGCTCAGCGGGCTGAGAAGGTCAGCCAATTCCAGGCCATGACACAGTCCCACTGGAACAAGGCCCTCCGGCTCTTCGCCACCAGCGGCGCTTCCCTCCAGCCTTCGGCCAAAGCCCCACACCAGGAGGCTGGAGCAGATTCCAAGTCAGAATTTCTCTCCCCTCCAACCCACATAAAAAAACCCTGCAGAGGGAGACTCTCTGCAGTAACACAAAAGTTCATTGCACGTATCCGCCCCAGGAGCCATAGTTTGAGAACCCCTGATTTAGTGCAATATAAAAAATGCAAAAAAAATTTCTGTGGACCACCAAAATTTTCACGCGGACCACCAGTGGTCCACCGACCACCAGTTGGTGACTACTGTTCTTGATAGCTCAACTATGCCAACTTAGTAGTCACTCATTCCAACCCCTTCATCACCTTGGCTCTCTTCTTGCATAAAAGTGCCACAATGCTTAAATATCCAGCAGCAGCAGCATAACCAAGAGATGTTAAGCCACTTTCAGAAGAGGCATCAACGTTTGCTCCAAACTCCAACAGCAAGGCTACCATCTCAGAGTAACCAAGGTGAGACTGGACACACAAAATTGGGGCATTGTTTAGCACTTCAGTCCTGTAATTGATGTTGGCACCTCCCAAGATCAGCAGACGACTGACCTATGCAACAAGAAACAGAGTAGTAATATATTAGAGCAATATTCTTCAGATTTGTAATACCTGAGAAAATTTGATTTTCTCAACTGAAAATTCAGTGTTTTTGGTATCAACTCTCCCCAGACTGATTTTGAATTGTGTAGCAATTCTTTGGAATACTAGAATGAGAAGAATAGAGATGAATGTAATGAATGATTACTCACTAATAGCTATAATTCTTTGAACAGTTATCTGTAAATTTAATTTAATTCATTTGATTTAGGTGCCATTCAACTCCAAAAGGCACTGGGAGCTCACAATACAACAAAAGAATAAAATACAATATAATTGTTAGGTCAAACGTAGGCAAGAACGAGACCAGTTAAGGATGCAACAGCAACCAAAAGTGGAAGCTGTATATGAGAATGTCAATATTGTTAAAACCAGCTGAAAGGTTTAAAGAAGCAGACAAAAAACAACAACATAGTGAATCTGGATGTAAGTAAAACTCAGAAAGGGCTTTAAACATCTTAGTCCAAGATTCCAGATTGTAGCATGAGTTGTGCCTTGTCACATGGATAATGGGAGTCTAACAAAAAAATCTGTGGACTGTAGAAAGTCCTGAATAGGTTCTATCTAATTCTGATAAATTTTAGCCTAAGATTATATTCTTCTCAGTTTATGTGGAAAATTTACAAAAAGTCAAATAAAAGTTCAAAAATTATTTTCTCATTCCTTTTGCTCCTAGTTTAAGCTTTTATAGGAAATTAATTAGGAAAGGCGAAGCAATAACATGCACCAGTTACAGCTGCTCCAGAATGCAATGGTGCAGGCAGTGATGGCACCCATTGTTGCATGATCTCCGTTGATTGCCAATCTCCTCCCAATCTAAAATTTTAATAAAATTAATATATAAGGCTAAATAATTCCCATTAGATTGATTTAGTCAGATTTTAGATAGAATTCTGTGCAGGTGTATAACTCATATATGTGAACTGCATAAATTTCAAGAACTGCTAGATCTGTATAAAGAAAGAGATAGAAAATGTTTTTTAAATATTACTGCTGGCAAAGAAACAAAGGCACAAATAGTATTCTAGTCTTCTTGAATATATAGATTCATGGGGTTATCCTTCTCACTATAACATCTTAGCCACAGATTTGTAAACAACAACAACAATAAAGGAGTGCAAGTATAAAATCTGTTATTATGATAGGTGCAGATTGGGATAAAGAGTGAAAATTTAAAGAATCTCTGAAGATTTTTTAGAATTTTCATATATTATTTCTTTAAAATCCACAGAAAAAGTTACAGACTGGACTTGGTTGAGAACAACTTTAGGATCAGGATGGAGAGAATATACTGACTTGTCCATTCTTGTTTGTTTTGCTTGTTATTTGTATGTCTTCTAAAATTCTTGATGAATTGTAAAGAAATATTATTATTTTTTATCTCCTAACATTCTGAGCTCCATTTGCTGGTAGAAAGGCAAGATATAAAATTAATACATGAATTAATAAAATTCTCTATTGCTGCAAAATGCTCTATGAAGCTGTCCTTGGTAGCTTCAAGTAGGTCAGAATACAGTGGCATGAACAGTGATGGATATACTTCAGTGTGTTCACATGAGTCTTGCCTTGCAAATTGCATCAGTAGCCAGTTTGCTGCTGGGTGCAATCCAAGGTGCTGGTTATGACGTATAAAGCCCTACATGACTTAAGGACTAATTACTTTATATCCTGTGGAGTCTGCCCAGCTGGTTCAAAGCAACAAGGTTGGCATGTTCTGGGTTCCTTCAATCAAACAAACAAGTGTCATCTACTGAGACCGAGAAAGCATGACTTCTCTGTTACAGCATCTGCCTTCTATAATGAGAATCACCCTGAATTCAGGTAGCTTCCACATTAACAGTGTTCTGAAGTGTCTGCTTTTCTTCCCAGACCCTGAGTTAGATGAGCTGCAGCCCCTTGCTGGGTATGTAATATATTCTTCTGTGTTGATAGCTTGATTTATCATTTCATTTAATGCTTTCCATATAGATTATATATTTTTGTGATTTGTTGCTATACTAAGAGCTGCCTAGAGTTGGTCTGGAGTTGGGCAATATGTAAATCAAATGAATGAACAAACAGATAAAATACAAGAACTTACATTAACTATATCAAACAAAGATATATTAAAGACAGTTGGCAAAATGTCCTGAGAAATAAGGAAACTGGATCTGATAATTTGGAGAAATACCTTCAGATATATGGAAATAATAATTTATCATACTAATAGATTTTGATAGAAATAAAGGGAAGAAAAAATGGAAAGGTAATTCATTGGAATATAAAAATAAATCTTGCTAAATTTCTGCTACAAGTAATCCTTCACTTTGTAAAGTCTCTGAACTATTTGCTTAGCAATTATTCAAAGTTATGATGGTGCTGAAAAAAGTTTAATCCTCATACTTATGACTGATCCTCAAACTTATAACTGGAACCCCATGGAACCATGATCAAAATTTGAGTGCTTGGCAACCAGCATGTATTTATGATGTCCCAGGGTCAGGTAACTGCCAGCTGACTTCAACAAACAAAGTCAATGGGAAAGCCGAAATTGCTTAATGACCATGTGATTCATTTAATAATCACAGCAAAAAAGATAATAAAACCAAGCACAACTCATTTAACAGTCACCCCTCTTAGCAATGGAAGTTCTGACCCCAATTGTAGTTGTAAGTTGAGGGCTATTTGTTTCTAAAACAAAAGTGAACCAGGTTGTCTGAAGCAGGCCAAACAAGGATATTCTCCATTTTGCTCTGATGTAATGTCAAAAACCTATGCACAACTAAACTGAGGTTTGTTTTCCAGATCAAGACAAAATCAGAAGTGTTACCATCTGGCAGACGCTACAGGATAATAAAAACAAGGACAAATAGGCTGAAAAACAGTTTCTTTCAGGGTAATAACTATATTGAATTCTGTTGTATTGTGCAATATTAATGCAATATCAGATTTTCAATTCAATTGTATAGAATGTGAAGGATGTGTGTTTGTGTTTTACTTTTATAGTTATAATGTACACTGAAGATGGCATTTAATTTTGTAAAGTAAACTAAGTGGGATTGTTGTTTCCAATAGGAGCATCTATCAAAATATTGGCTTTGCTTAATGAAATGAGTAGAATAGATAACCTGCTCCACTTGGAATGAAAGAAGATATAGAGGATAATGTGTTCCACAAAAGGACCCTACACTTAAAACTTTGTCCACCTACCATTGTCTTGGTTTTTAAAAATAATTTTTAATTTTTTTTTCTAAGAGAGAGCATCTCTTGGCATTAATAGAGGTTTCACTTCAAACCCAAAATGATTAGTATTAGGGAAAGGAGGATCAAGAGAAAGAACTCAGTCCATCTCTCATTCTTCTGTACTTGTCATAATGTTCAGGATTACCAGAGCTGCTATTTATATAAGGAAAATATAGATATTAATCACCTTAATGAAATTAATGTCACTTTTGCTTTGGTACTAATATAACATAATATTAAGCAAAGAGGCAATTCCATAAAATGGATCATGGGTAACAAACTGTGATGATCAATGTTTAATTTCTCAAAATCCAGTCAGTTTATCCATTACTTCAGAATCTGAGTTTCTATTTAAACTCAAAGCTGCTGTTTTGACAAAATCACAAGATGATTTGGTCTCTGCAATCTGGAACTTAAAAGGCAATCTCTATTTCTAGTACCTTTATATTGGGTGTATACAAATTGCGCAGAGAGGCCAGTGCCATGGAAAGACCTTCTGAGCTATAAGAAATCCAAAGCCCTTGAAGAATTGAGGAAGAAACACCAACTTTTTTACTAAGCCCCTGAAAAAGATAAACATTATATAACTCTTTGTAATTAAACCCCATGAACAATTTAATCTCATATCTATTAGCAGTAATTCAAAGTTAAAAGTGAATAATTTCTTTAAGACATTGCAAAAATACTGTAATAGATGACATATTTTAAATTTTATGCTCAAAAGATTAAAAAAAGTCAGAGTATTAATGATCTTCCTACCACTCTAATCCTGAATCAGATATGAAAATAATTAGCCTGGTGTGATTGTTTAGCATTGGATCATTTCTCACTGAAATTAGGATTCCTACAGACACATTTCTATGACAGTTTTAATGCTTCCATTTTTTAAAGATCTTGGGCTTTACTAAAAGCCTATAAAATTATTTCTGATCTACAAATTGTATTTCAACTATGGAAAAATACTGTAATGAGGATTTATCAATTATAACACATTTTTAGAAGTGGATCTCCAATTCCCAGGTCAAACATAGATTATTTTCAAGATTTTTGTGAATCTTTCTCACTAGGTTCACAAGAGAAAGGTGAGATAACAATAATAATTCATACTGTCCTTTAGTATATTCTATCTACTGTTCCATTTTCTACATTTTGGATGAGAAAGATTGAATAATAAATGAAATTATGTCAATCAAAGATTTAGAATTATTCTTTGCTGTGTCTGATAATAACAGAAAAAGCATGCAGGAACATTGTAAATTTTCTCTTTCCTTGTTATATTGTTTTGGTAGTGAGCTATCTGAGAATGGAAACTTGATCCTCCTTGTTAACTGACTAAACTACAATATACAACTCAGAAGGTAAATATTCTTTATGCTTTATTATAATAGCAATACACACCAGTACACAGAATCCAACAAAAAGATGTTATCTTTTTTTCTGCCTACCTTAAAGATGTGTGCTTTGAGAATATGATGGCCCAACTCAATTGTCTGCTGCCTATTGAGTTTTCCCTCTTGACGGGAAAACCAAAAGGCAAGTAAAGTATGACCGCTCCTAAAGAGAGAGAGAAGGAGGGAGGGAGGGGAAGGGGAAGGAGAAGGAATGGGAGCGGAAGGGGGAAAGGGAAAGAGAGGGAAAGGGGGGAGGGTGGGAGAGGGAGAGGGAGAGGGAGAGGGAGAGGGAGAGGGAGAGGGAGAGGGAGGGAGGGAGGGAGAGAGAGAGAGAGAGAGAGAGAGAGAGAGAGAGAGAGAGAGAGAGAGAGAGAGAGAGAGAGAAAACAAACATAATGGGAAAAGGAACCCAAAGGTATAACTTCAACACATGTAATGACATTTAACAGCCAGATCCTGGAAAAATATTGATCTCATTTATACAATTTATTTATATGAGAAAGTTTTGCTAAATAAATTGAATTTCACTTAACTGAATATCAAATGCTATTCAACTTTTAATTTCATGAAAATAATCTCCTTGCTTTAAACTGAATAAAATCACTGACATGTAAGTAGAGTTACATTTATAACATGAAAAATACATTTATCAAGTATGAGCTTTTAGATGTGATTTTCTTCTTCACTATCTTGGTTGTAATTAGTGCCCCCTACTTGTAATTTACTTTGGATTTTTGTAGAGGAGAATAATGATTTGTGTATATATACTTCATATTTAAATCCTATCAAAAGATTAATAAAGATTTTAGAACTTACTACTAATGAATAGATTTACACTTATTTTGATTGGTTATACTTCAGTGGTATTTCTCTTTCTATGTACTGTATGTCTGTGCCTTCAAATCAGTGTTAGCTCCTGGCAAGTGCCTGAATAACTACTTGCAAGTTTTCTTCACAGCATTTTTGCAAATGGTTTGCCATTGCTTTCTTCCGAGCACTGAGAATGACTTGCCAGCTGGCAACATGCCTGAGGCAGGTCTAGAACTCACAGTCTCCTGGTTAATAGCTGATTCCTTAACTACTACACCAAACGTATTATCTTTTTCTCAGACATAAATTGAAAAATTAATGATGAGAAGGGAGCAGATAGCTTCTAGAAAGTAAGTTGCATTCACTCCCATGTGTATTTCATAAACCCAATAATACAACTTAAACCACTGGAATATTTATGTGTATATGTGTGTTTCTATACTTATATTAATATTGTCATCCATCTCACGAAAACATATCTCTGGGCATAAACTTTCTTTTATAAGAGTGACTTGAAAAATGCCAAAAATATGATGTTATGATTCAAGCATTTTTAGATAATGAATGATACTTTATTTGCTGTTTGAAGATATCTGTTTTTCATATTGCTAAGATAAACTTTAATGGCCCCACAAAAGATAAACTGGAAGTTATTTATAAATAACTTCCAAAATTATTTACTATTTCTTTCGATAATTAATTATTGATGGAGACATAAATGTTGTTATGAACTTTCAATTGGATAGATACAGTATACTCCTCCAAAAATGTATTTATAATCAAATTTGAACAATTATGCAAAATTATCTGTAAGAATTTAATTTGAAGGATAATTGAGGGTACATCGTGCTTTAAAAAGGTATTATACTTTTATATCCTAGGGTCAAAGAACTATTTTTGAGATTGAATCCTTTTAAAAATGTCTTCTTTTTGTTTGTTTTGATACACAAATGAATCCTACTTGTTGATTTCATATAATGTTTTGGTTATATTAACAGTTCATCTTAAAGAACCTGAGTTAATTAGTGATAATATTTTTAAAATCATTTTAAATCTTGTTAATGATAATTTTTCTGGAAGTGGACTTCCAGGGATGAATTGCAATCTAATTGTGTTTGAGGTGGGGATTTGGGGAACCGGTGTCATAGCTTGGATATGGCTGCTGACTAGTGGTAGATGCCTGAAATCTTCCGCCAATGGAAGGCGGAAGTTGAAATAGACTCATTTACTCTCCAGACAGCCGCTTCTCATGAGTAAAAGGCAAAGGCAGAGTTAGTGTATAAATTAAGAAAAAAGAATGAAAAGAAAATGATTTTGAAACTTGAAGCAGGGGTTCTGTATTAGCAGACAATGGGGTTATACAAAAACTTTTCATCAGTACAATTCTAACTTGTACAAAGTACATGACATGCACCTGGAAATGATAGGTGATTATTTTAAAATTTAAAAAATTTACCAAGGTCTACAGAGAACCAAACAGATGTGAAGTTTCTTAAGCTATAAAAAAGATTAAATCAGGAAAAATATCTGGATCAGATGGATTACCAGGTTCTTATTACAAATACTTTAAAAATAAACTTTTAGAATCTCTCCAAAATAAAATGAATTCTATCTTACAGGGAGGTAACATGCCAGAGTATAGGTATCAAGTTTACATAGCATTAATACCTTTACATTGAACCACAGATCAATATCGTTACTGACCAATGATTATAATTATTTACAATAATTTTAGGAGATAGATTGAAAATAATTTTACAAGAGTTTATTTATGAACTTTTACATTAAAGGCAATTAAAAAATCATGTCAAAATTATATATGACACAGAATATTCGGAACAGGTTAACAAAAAACAGGAAGATGCAGTCTTTGGCAATTTAAATTGACCTTAAATTGACATTTTTGTTTAAAATTTTAGAAGTTATGAACTTTGGAGAGAATTTTAAAAAATGGGTGAAACTGATGCATACACAGAGACCATAAATTATAGATAATGGAGATTTAACAAAACTTTGTCAGATACAAACAGGAACAAGACAAGGCTGCCCATTATCCCCCCCCCACTTTGTTTATTTTGTTTTTTGAAGTTTTGAATAGATATATAAGGCAAGATGAGAGGATAATGATGGGGGGGGGGGAGGACTAAACAAGTTCAAAGATTTGCAGATGATTTGGTACTGGAAGATCCTTTAAACAGGATTGAAATATTAATGAGAAAATTAAAAGAATTTGGTGCACCAGTTGGTTTTAAGATAAATAAACAGAAGACAAAAATATTAGCAATATTAGGTTTCATGATTGAGAAAAAGGTAAAATACTTGGCTGTTAATTTGACAAATATGAACTTATGTAGTTTCAAACAAATAACTATGTTAAGACATAAAAGGAAATTAAAAGAGATATGTCAAGATGAGGAAAAATTGCAACTATCGTTGATGGAAAGAATTTTTGTGATTAAAATAAAAGTTTTACCTAGAATTTTATTTTTTGTTTCAGACAATACCAGTTTTGACAATTGAGGTAAACAATGGAAGAAATATATATTTAAATTTATGTGCCCAGTAAAAAAACCCTGTGAGTTAAGTACACAGTGTTCCAAAGTGCTAGAGAAAGAAGCAGCTTAGGCCTACCTGATTTGAAATTGTAATTTGCAGATTGTTGTTTAATTTGGATGAAAGAGTGGAAACACTGAGAAATATAAGATTATTGGGGCTATTTACAGTATTACAAAATTAAAGTTAGCATCATTTCAAAAATCATGTTGTTAGATGTGCCATCTTAACAACGTGGAACAGATATAAATTTAAGTTGTTTCCAAAAGTATCTTTATGGCTGTCACCATAAGAAGCATTTATAGAAGAGAAATGATAATTAAGCATTAGTTACTGATTTATTAGAATTTTTCCAAAGAAACACTAATATGAAATCAAGAGGATTTTATATCAGAAGAGTTCATATGTCAATAGTTTTCCTATGTACAATTATTAGAAAGATTAATATGAGGTAAAAGGATTTTTGGTTTTCAATATGGTAAAACAGAATTTGAAACAGAATTATTTACATATTATTGCTAAAAAGTATAAATGCCTCCTACAAATTGAAATAGAACATGAACAAATAAAATAATGTATGGTGAAATGGGTTAAAAACTTGAAGTATAATATACAGTACAAATGGAACAATGGAATAATATGTGAATTGAAATTCACATTGTGTTTTAATTCTAAAGATAATTTTTTTAATAAAATAGTGTATCATTGGTATTTGTCACTGGAAAAATACCTAAAATGTAGGTGCAAGGAACTAGGATGACACAGGTAGCTGAATAGAATGGTATGTTTACTGCTCTTTGTCTAACGCACTTATAGTTTAATACAATATTAATGCACTCATCATACTATATAAGCACTGCAAGGTTAGGGTTTCTGCTTTCTGCTGCTTTCTCCTCCTCAGTGATTCCAATTTTTGAAAAAAATAAAAAACCACGTACAAGTTCTAAATGAAAAATTAGATATACAGTTTGATGAATTACCAACAGTTCTAAATCTGTCTAAAGATTTAGGCAGATTCAGGCAATAGCAATTAAATCGGCCATACAACTGGGAGGCTCATTAGAGAAGGCTAATTTTGCAAAACAAAATGGCAGCTCAGAGCTGAAACTCCGAGGCTAGGAGGGAGATGTTTTGACATTTTCAAGAGTGTGGGGGTCAATTAACCATCCACAGACCCCCCTCCCAGCAAGCTGAGGTATTTTCGGCTCAATAGAGCTGTGGATGGAGCCCAAGGATAAAACCCGAGCCGAGCCCGAAGATCAGCTGTTTGTCAGTAAAAAGACTGAGGGCGGTGGGGAGGATGTCAACATCAAAACCTGGCTGTCATGACCGGGTCAACCACTGAGTCTAATACAGCTGATGAAATGGTTGGCGAGACGGTGGCAACAGCAACTCCAGATAGGGTGTTGATAATGATGCCTGGGCTAATAGGCGCTGCATGTAGCAACATGGCGGCGATGATGTCTATGGCAAGGGGGGTTACCACAATGGCGAGGGGAATGGCGCTAATGGCAGCGACGGCGACGGCAACACCAGGAGGCTGCAAGGAAGCCCTTGTTGTTAATAGAGGAGAGGGCAATGCTGCAAAGGCTATAAATGTTAGGATCCCTTCAACCTCTAGGGATCTGTTGCACTCCTCTTTCTTGAAACTCTGAGGACTTATTAAACTAATTGAACTAAGTAGCCTGAGCAAGGTGATGGATAGGGACTGAGGATTACAAACTGGAGATGATGACCTACTCTCCCCCTCAACTGTCCCTCTCTCCTTTATCAGATCTAGATCTATTACGACCACTCAGC